GGACCCCCAGAAAGGCTCAAGGCACCGCAGTGCAATGCGGAGCGACGCGGCGCAATGCAACGCAATGCTGTATTTTGTGATGTTTTGAATATGTCATGACGCGAAATACTGTTATCCGCCACTGTGCCTGCACGGATTGTGCGTATTGGAGTGGCCCTCTGTTGAACAGCTGGTGTTAAATTTGGTGGTTAAGCCGATCCTCTCGTTTCGCGCGTGCTTGCAAAACCGCCCCCATCGGACTGTGCCCCCTGGCGCCCTCTTCGGCCTCCAATCTGCCCCAAAAGAAACACATGCCGCCCGAGCATAACGAAGCTCGCCCCAAGACGGCCCCGAAAGCCCCCAAGACGGCCGCAAGACTGCCCGAGAAAACCTCGGGACGACACAAAAAGGCCACAATATGGCCGAAAATGGCGCCCGCCCGAGAAGGCTGCAAGGGGCGCCTATGAGGCCCCCGAGTGCAAAACAAACATCGATGGTCCAATTAGTTTTACAAGCTGCTTCTTGACGAGCTTCCGAAAACTTGGCACGGCCCTTCCTCCTGAAAGTATATTGGATACTACCTCTTGGGGGCGTCTCGGGCCCCCCTAGGGGCAATGAAAGGGGGCCTCTAGCGGTCGGTTGGGAACCTCTCGGGAACTCTTCTGGCGTCTCCTGGGAGGACTTCGGGAGATCTGGAAGACAATTTGCGGGCTCAAATCTTGCTCAAATCACTTCTCGCGGGCTGCATCTTCGGGCTTTCGTGCGCCGTCGTGGGGGGCGTCTTGGGCCGCGTTGGGGCCTTCCTGGGCCGTCTTGGGGCTCGCTTGGGGGCCCCCTCGTGGGCCCCGGGCGGTTTTCGCGCCCCCCCCCCCCCCCGAAGGGGGGCATGTTGGATGACATCGATCAGAAGATGGAGTCCGTATCTCCTCCTCATTCTCCCCATCTTCCCTCCTTTTTTTTCCGGGGTCGACGGGGGGCGGGCGGGGGCGTGGGCGGACGAGGGGCAGCTGCGGCAGCGGCGCAGCAAAGGGAAATACCACGCCCCCAGTTCGCGGGCTCTTTCTTACAGGGCAGTCGAACGACACACAACGGTTCCGTCGACGATTCATTGCACGCGCCGTAGTGGCCAAGAGAGAACCAGCCGCCCCTCCAAACGAGCGCAAGGTTACGAAGTCCCACGAGCCCTCTGGGAGTGACTGGTTTAAGGCATTTCCTCTCCCAGCTTCCCCTCCTACCCCTCGGTGAGGGGTTCGCAACTCCCCCAAACACTTCCCCCCTGGACCTGGACTCGCGACCCACTGGAGCTTCCAAGATGGCCCAGGATAGCTCTCAGAGCGCCTCAGGGAGCCCAAGATGACTTCCAAGATGGCTCAAGATAGCCCGCGATAGCTCAACATGGCTCCCAACATGCTCCAAGAGGCCCCCATATCGCCCCAAGACTGATCCAAATGACCACGAAGCCCCTCCCCTCCAGGACGCCCCAGGGCGCCAGCATCAAGCACCTACCGAAAATCTACGCGTTGTTTGCCTTCCCGCTCTTTTGCTTTCGATTGCCCCCCGTGGCCCAAGATGACTCCTGGAGGGCCCAAGAGAGCGCCAAAAGAGGCCCAAGAGGGCTCCAAGAGCGCTCCAAAGCGCCCGCAAAAGTGGCCCCAGAGGCGGGCTATCCATGAGGCAGCGATAATTTAGGACCCCCCCCCCCCCTTCCTTCGATCCATCTCTTCCAAGATTGCCCGACCAGGCGCCCAGGAGGCCCGAAGATGCTCCGAAGAGGCCCCCAAGAGACCCCCAAGAGACCCCCAAGAGACCCCGAAAGGGCCCCCCAAGAGGCCCCCAAGAGACTTCCACAAGGTTCCCCGAGGCACCCAAGCCCCTGGGCCGCCAAGAGGCCCCCCAAGATGCCCCAAAAGGCCCCCGGGGAGCTTCCAAGAGACATCCGAAGACACCCCGAAAAGGCATCCAAAGGGCCTTTGGCCTTTTTGCTCGCCCCCCGCTTCCTCGATACTGTCCTACCGATTCCTCCTCCTCCTCCTCCTCCTCCTCCTCCTCCTCCTCCTCTCTGGTCGTTTGGCAACCCCTGCATCTCTTGCACTCTGGAGTTTGGTTGGCAGCGGCGCACTGGAAAAAAACAAATCCTCTCTGGTCGCTCACCCCCCTACCCCTCCTCGCCCCCCTCCACTTCCCCGCCCCCCCCCCCCCTTTCCCTCCCTCATCCCTACCTCCTCCATCTCGTGCTTCCCCGATCCCCATCCCCCCTTTTTAAGGGGCGCGGCGGTCCTTTGGTTCTTCTGCGCGCCCCCCTCTTTCCCTAACCAGTGCAACTCGTCTGGGCATCGTTGCTGGATGAGCTGGTGGCGTCGCGCGAAGCGTTTAGAATTCCCTGCTCGTCGCCCGCGTCGCCCCCGTCCCCATCCCGCTCGGCGCTGTCGCTGTCATTCCCGCTGTCTTTCGCCCCTGGCGTCGCCCTGTCCCCCTGCTCGACCTCCCCCCTTCCACGTCATTCCTTGCCTCGTCCTCGCTGTCATCGCCCCCCGCCCTGCGCCACCGCCCCCCCCCCCCACCCCCCCTCGCCCCGACCCTTTCTCCTCATCCTCACCCCGAGGCGGAGTCGGGAAGGGAAAAGGGGGGCGGTGCATTTTTTATGAAACTCCGGGCGCCTCGAGCGCCAAAGCGCAGAGGCGGCGTCCCCGCGCGGGGGCGGGAAGCGCGAAAGCAAACCGGGACGCGGGCAATGACTCTCGCGCCCAACCCCGCCCGCCCCCGCCCCCGCAATCGCAGGCGGCACAGGGGGGGAGGGGCGCATGAAGAGGAAGTGGGGGCGAGGAACATGCGCCAAATGCGGTTGGGCACTGAACAGGGGGAGGGGGGAGGGCGCCGAACGAAACCGGCGCGCGACCAAACCTGTCATGGGCGACTTCAAGTCGACCCACAAGAGCCTCGGGTGCCGACATAGACTGAACATGTCCACGTGGACGTTCTGCGACGCCCGCATGCCAGAGCCCCGCGTCCCGCGCGCAAGGCAGAAATCGGCGACCCCTGATTTCACGGGCGATCCCCCCCCTTCCACCCGCCCGCCCCGCCCACCCGCCCGCCCCCCCTGCCCCCCCCCCCCCCCCTTCGGACCCATGGAAGCACTGGAAGCAGCGAACATGATAGTTCGAGCCGGGGCGAACGCACGACGACCATGAGCATGAAGTTTTGTTTGTTTTCTGAAGGGGGGAAAGAAGGGGGGGCGGGGGGCGAGGGTCAAGACATGCGGCTCGAGCGAGCAGGCGCCCCCCCCATTGCCCCACGAACCATTTGCATTGGAAAAGGGACGCGGCGCAATGGGCAGTTTGCCACATGCACGGGGGGGTGCCGCCTTGACGCGCGCCTTCCACTCGAAACGATCGTTTGCCGCGGCGCGATTGCCCGACGGGGCCCGGCCGCGACGTCGAGCACCCTTCTCGCCATTCCCCCCCAATACACACACACACGCGCACACACACACACACACGCACACACACACACACGCACACACACACACACACGCACACACACACACACGCACACACACACACACACGCACACACACACACACGCACACACACACACACATGCGCGCACGCACGCACATACACGCACACACCGCCCCACCCCACCCCGCCCCGCCCCACCCCACCCCACCCCGCCCCGCCCCCATCCCCACCGCCCCCGCATCCCCCGCACGTCCTCAACCAAACGAACGCGCGATGTCGCGCGTTCCAGGGCGCCGTCAAGGGCCGCAGACTCCCGCCGCGCCCCGCGCGCGCGTTGCACGGCGGGGGTTGCCGATGAATAACAAACGCCGCCCCCCCGCGCGAACCCTATCGCCGGCGCCCGCCCTTGACAAAAACATCGCCCCTGTTTCGCGGCCGCTGCGCCTGGACCGCGACCGCCTGCGCTGGAACGACGAAGCCTGCTCGGATTGCCCGCGGCGCCTGGGCGCCAGCGCCCCGCGCGCGAAGCGGGATTTGGCGACCCCTGTTTGCCAGGGGTGGCATGCGCGGAGGGCGATTTCACTGCCCCTACCTATTGCGGACTCTTCGGGGCGCCGGGGGCAGCGCGCGAAATAATTGGGCCTGGCGGGGGGGGGGCGGAGCGGGGGACGCGACGAGCACGAGTGGGGGGCTTTCGCGGGGGGCCGGGCAGGGCCCGAGGCGGACAGCTCGAACGAGCGAGCGCGACCCAATTACCCTGCGCCCCTGTTGCGCTGGAAGCACCAGCTGCGCAACGCAGCGGGTGGCGGGTCGCGCAGGGCGCTGCCACTCTGGCGCGCGAGTTCCACTCGAAGCGAACGCATCCTGGGGCGCACTTGCCAGACTGTGAATGGCTGGGGCGCCTACCATCATAACCCATAACCCTCATCACCGCCTTCGCACGCCCTCTTCATCCCCCCCAATCCCTCGCGCCCTCACTTCAAAAGCGGCGGGGGGAGCCCGATGACTCCCGTTGTGCCCCACGTGCTCTACATGGTGAGGATTGCCAATGAACCGGACAACGGCCGAATGACACGCCGCGCGACCCCTGGCAGCCATGTCCCTCCTTAACAAAAACCTGCCCCCTTTTTGTGGCCGCCGCGCTCGCCGCCGCGAACGCCCGGGCCCCTCTGGGCATCCCATCCCAGGTCGATGATCTTGCAACGAGACCCCGACTGGCGCCCTGCTCGCCCCAGCCTCGCCCGCGCCGTCCCCGCCGCCTATCTCGGCCGCCCCCCGCGCGAGTCAGAATGTCACAAGACGAACCAGCAAGGGCATAACCAGACTGCCAGGGCCAACCTTCACCACCATGTAGAACTCCAACGTCGCTGCGAGGTGCACCGCTGGAAAGACATGCTCGCTGGGCCGCTCGCGAGCGACCATGATGCCATGGGGTCCTCAAGATTCCGAACCATGACCAAGACCGTCGCCATCTCCGTCTCCGACTCGGCGTTCACAAAAACAATGGCCTATGCGACTGACTGGTAAGACTGGCGCCTCCGCTGGGCCCCCCGCATTGCGAGCCCCCTCCTTGCCGCGCCCCCATAAGCGCCACTTGCGCCGGCCCCTGAACGGCATGCCCGTGCGCTTGTGCAGTGCAGACTCCCCCGCGGTCGGCTTATACCTATGCCCCCTTATAGTCGGTCGCTGGGCCTCTTCACCATCATATGCTTGATCTGGTTCCGGCACGTCGGGAAATTTCTTGCCATCGATCGGGCAAGGCGCGTTCGCGGCCACATCGTAGCTGCAGAGCCCGCGCCTCTTGGCTATCTTGAGCGGCCTGCCCTGTGCGTTCTTTATCTCCGACCCGCTGGCCCACTCCATCTTCTCGCTCAGCTCTTTGCTCTCGACGCGTGGAGACGTCGCCCCCCTCGGCGTCGTGGGCGTGGCCGAAATATTCCATGTCCCGTCGCTGGTTTGTCTGATGGCTGATCTGCCCGCGACGCGTCACTGTTGCCCTTGCCCTTGCCTATGCCCGCGCAAATGCGTCGCAGCCCCTCCTCGGCGGTCTTGCCGTCAATCGTGTCTTGCGTTGCCTTCCTGCGCCCCATGAGTTTGCGCTCCTTCTTTCCGCTGTGCTTGCGCGGCGTGCTCGTCGAATTCGAATCGAGGCCTTTGCCGCCTCGTCTCCCCGACCCCCGTCTGCCCGAGCTGTAAATTCGACTTCCTGCCTTGCCCTCCTCGTTTGATTTTTCTTGCGAGATCTCGCCCTCGCCGCGCTCGCCGCGTTCGCTCGCGAGGGCGAGCGCGTCCGAGTCCATCGCGGCCGGGCTGGTCAACGCCAGCGCCGCCTGCTTTGACCGCAGAAAATTCAGCGCCCCCGCCAAGCCCAGCGGGCGCGGCGCGAACCTCGCAACGTTCAGCGCCAGATGCTCTCGCAACTTCCGCGACGCCAGTCCTGTGTTCAGAACCGCCTTCTTGATGGACTTCGCGATCCCCTCGCCCGCCCCTCCCTCGTGGCGCTGAGCCAATTCCTCCCGGGACGCGACGGTCTTGATCGGCCGTTCTCCTTGGCGTGGGCCGCGGGATCGAGGCCGGCATCTCGGGGGGCCTCGACGGCGCCTTCGGCCCGCCCACTGCGCGCAGGAGTCGTCGCGCGTCGAATCTGCTGCCGGGCGCGACGCTCATCGCGATGCCCCGCGCCTTACCCGCGGACGTCGTCGCCTGGAAGCAGCGCAAATTAGCGTTCGCGCGCTGGGCCCCCCCATCCGATCTGGATCTTCGCGCGCGTGGATTCCGCGTCGACCTTCGCAGCGCCCCGCCCTCGACTCGGCCAGGCGCGGGCGCGCGGCCATGCAGTCGGCTGCCGGCGCAAAGCTCCACTTATCCCGGGCAGCGCCGCCCATGTCGTTGAAGTAGAAGTTCTCTTCCTTCGCAAGCCCGCGAAAGGCCCGATGGGGCCCCCGCCCAGACGCCCCTGCAGGGGCCAAAACGGCGGCGGGGGAGACGGGAGAGCACGGCTGCGCCCATCCTCAACACGGACCCCAGCCGTTTCTCGGCCTCGACCCCGGCCCGCCCACCCCTAGATCTTTGCGACCTGGGAGCTGCGCGGCGGCCCCCGCGTGCACAGCGTGCGAGGACTGCGAGACGCGTTGACCCGAAACTTCTGCTCGCCTGGATTGGCGAAACTATTGCTCGCGCGACTGGGGGCGCCAGCCGCCAGTTGGGCGCGCGCCCTGCCCCCCCCCCCCCCCCCCCCTGCCCGCCGCTCAGAAGGCCCCGCGCTGGCGTCTTCATCGCCCTCTGCCGCAGAGCTCCAGAGAGAAACTCCGTCGCTGCACGCGACGCCCCTCGTCGCGTCGCCGTCGTCGGCCCCGGCTTCGGAGCGCACCGAATCCGCTCCGTCGCTGTTCTCGTCGCCCCCGCTCGTCGTTCCCAGCCCCCCCCCTCGGCTCGCTATTCTCGACGGGGCCCGACGGCGCCGCCGACGGCGGCCGCTGCGATCGCAGCCGCCGCTCGGGGGGCCGCCGGTTCCACTCGGCGCCCTCGGCCCCCCCCCCCGGCGCGCGTTCCCCGGCGAGCGTGCTGCAGCTGCTCGCGCGCGGCTGTCTCCGCGCCCTCTCGTCGGCATGGGATCCCAGCTCTTCCGCGGCGAGCTCCACCGGCTCCGCCTTCCGAATTTTCTATATGCTCGACTGGCCGATTGCGCTCCGCGCTGCGCCCGAGCGGGTCAGCGGCCCGCGTTGCCGCCCGCGTCGGAGCGCGGTTTCGGTCCGCGGCGCAGGACCATGGCGCCGCCGCTCTCGCCGATCCTGGCGAGGGCTCGACTGCCAGCCCTGCTGGTTCCATCCGCGCCTGGTCTGGCGACTGGACCGCAAAACAACGGGCCCGCCGGGCGCCGCGGCGCTCCCGGCGCGGGCGCCGAGCGCGCGAATCAAGCGGGGCGCCATCCGCAAGCTTGGCTGGGCCATCCGCAAGCTTCGGAAGCGCCGCCGCCCTGTCCGGCGCCCGACGACCTCCCGTGCCACTCCTCCCACGCGCCGCCCGTGTCAGACCCTGGCCAGGTGCGGCGGCCCCAGCCAACCCCCTCTCCGCAGGTCGCAGGGCGACTGTTCGCGATCGGGGGCCCACCAGTCAGCTGGGCGGCCAGCTCCGCCGGCGCACCCCCTGTCTCCTCCGCCTCGGTCTTCCACTGGGTTTCGACGTCGCGGAAGCTTCGCTCGACCGCGCTTTCTGTTTGTTCCGCGTCGTTTTCCCGCCGCGCGGCGGCGTCGCGGACATTTCGCGCGACGGCGCTCCCGAACGGCTCGGCGCTGTCATCGCCCTATTCCCGTGCTGCATCGCCATCGCACCGGATGGCGACGTCGCGGGAACTCCGTTCCTCGGCGCGCCGCGCCATCGCCGTGGCTGCCTCCGCCCAAGCGTCTATGTCACGCTCCGCGAGGAATCCCGCACCTGCGCGCGGACTAGACTTCGTGGCTGTATATCTCGCTGCCACGCGAGACGCGGCCGCCCACTCGCGCTCCGAGCTGTGAAGTCACGGACGCTCTGCACGGCACCGCCGTGTGTTTTGCTGCCCTGACTTCCAGGCGCAGCCGCGTCACCGACGCGCAAAGGCTTAAGTCACCGACGTTCCGCACAACACCGCTGTGGGTTTGCTGCCCAGGCGCAGCAGTCCGTGGACCCGTGGATCGCGCCAGCTTCGCTGAAGCTCCGCTACCAATGTTGAAGTAGAGGTTCTTGTCCCTCGCAAGCGCGCGAAAGGCCAAAAGGGAGGCCCTTGTAGGAGCCAAAACGGCGGCGCGGGAGAGGCAAGGGAGCATGGTAGTGCCTATTAGCCGATCATCAACACCTGTATTTCGCGTTCTCGTCGAACTCTCCTGATACCATTTCGAACCTGCCTAGTAGCTTCGAATCTACCAACGACTCTGGATGGTACAGAACTGCTATCTGTAAACATATGTTGCTACGCCTGCTGCGCCTTCTGCTGCTACTGCTGGTCGGGCGTTGAATTCGCGAGTCTGCCCCCCCCAACTCTTGTTTCTCATTCCTCTGTTGAACGACGCCTCCTTGTATGGCCACGATCCACTGCAGCAGCTCCTCGGCTGTGGCCATCGCGGCGCGCGAGAACGAGAGCCTGGCCGTGGGCGCGACCAGGCTCCGCTACCATGCGGGATGACGGTCGCCCTGTATTCCTTTTTGTCCTGGGGCCAAGCAATGTACAGCCCAGAAAAGTCAGTTCGTGCGTCGCGAAACCCTGCGCGTTCTGGACATAGTTTAACAAATCTCTGTCGCTGTCTGGTTCATGATGAACCACGTCTACATCGCAGAGCGGGGGGAGCTGAGAAGGAGCATGGCGCTCGTAAACTCGTAGACAAAGCAACTTGCCCCGATGTGTGGCGGCCGCGATCGCCACGGCGACCTCCAAAACCGGCCCGAAAATGTGGTTCGGGGTCGGGTATCGCGCAACGAGCCTTGTCAACCTTTCGTTCCCAGCTCCTTGTGGATACACTTTGCCACTCAGACGCCACACCGTCTAAGCTGGGTATTTCGCTGCGTCCCAAGTGGCTAAACGCAGCGACTCCACGGATCCATGCTTGTGCAACGCGAAATCGTCCCACCCGCCCTGTGGACGTACGCAGGCTGTTTCAGGACCAAGTTGCTCAACATAGCCACCTCCTCGCGTCCCCAAAGGAAGCTGCCCTCCACTGTGCCCCCGCTCCAGTCGGGAATCCAAATCGAATCTGAGTGTGCGTCGGGTCAGTCCGCATCGGCAAGGAGTCAAAATCGAATCGGATCAACCACGCCAGGCTGCAACACAGCGCCGCGCATCCGGCCGCAGCGGATTGTCGGAATATTGGAATCGAGTCATATATGGCTGGCCATGATCGGAATCGATCGGGTCGAAATGGACCTCGCCAGGGGACCGGACCCAGGTGCCGCGTGGTGACGGGGCGCCCGTTGTGCTTGCAGCATCCTGCTCCGCACTGCCGTGCGGCTGCTTTCCAAGATGTCCCAAGGCGGCCCCCTAGCCAGCCCAAGATGACCTCCAATATGGCTCGCCTTGGACCAACGTAGCCTCCGCCAACGCCCAAGGTGTCCTGATATAGCCCGGAGGTGGCCGCCTCGAAGCGGCCCCAAAACCTCCCCACGAGGCCGCTGAGAGGCCAACCTCAAGGAACACACAACTGATTTTCAATGATGGTTGCTGGCCTGGCTGCCAGTGGTCTCTCAGAGACCTGACTGTGCTGATCTCGTTGTTTGTTTGTTTTGTTTCTCTTTTTGTGTTCTCTCTCTCTCTCTCTCCCTCTCTCTCTCCCTCCTCATCTATATTATATATTATCTGCTTCTGTCTGTGTATACATATATATATATATATATATATATATATATATATTCAGAATGAGGGGATTGAACCAAACGGTAATTCACTGTCCCTGGGTGCGTGGCTGAAACGGAATTCCGCGATGCGGATTCTTGTTGTTTTTGTTTGTTGTTGTCGTCGTCCCACCCGCGACCCCCCCCGCGACCCCCCCTGTGACCCCCCGACCCACGCGACCCACCCCGCGACCACCGCGACCTGCGAACCACCCGACCCACCCGCGACCCACCCGCGACCGCGACCCGCCCGCGACCCCCCCCGCGACCCCCCTGGCCCACCTGCGACCCACACACGGCGACCCCCGCGACCCACCCGACCCACCCCGACCCCCGCGACCCACCCGCGACCCACCCGCGACCCACCCCGCGACCCACCGCGACCCACCCGCGACCCACCCGAACCACCCGCGACCCACCCAAGTCGGTGCCTTCGGCGGGCTTCTTTTGCATTCGTTCCAGGTGGAGAACCTGCGACCCACCTCCTAAACCGCGCCCGCGACCCACCCCGCAACCCACCGCGACCCACCCGCGACCCACCCGCGACACACCCCGCGACCCACCACAAATGTTCGGCGTCTGCGGCGGGCTTCTTTTGCATTCGTTCCAGGTGGAGAACCTGCGACCCACCCGCGACCCAAACCGCGTTCAGTGTACAAATCAAAATGTTCGGCGCCTGCGGCGGTCTGTTTTTGAATTCCTTCCAGGTGGAGGTGGAAAGCCCGCGACCCACCCGCGACCCAAACTACGTTCACTGAACAAGCCAAAAATTCGGCGCCTGCGTCGCCCGCGCCCGCCCCCTCACTCGTATCCGCAACTGCAGGGGCTATGTACAGATAGATATCGCGTAGTTCCTTTGTGCTGGCCCGACTGTTCGCTGCCACCGCGCTTGCCGTTCGGAAGGCGCCTCGCCTCGAGAGCTGCCGATGGGTGGCCTGGAAAGATCGTGCGTGGAAGCGTTCGAACAAGGCCGTGGGGGAGAGGAGGGCACAAGCAAAGCATGCATGAGATGCTGCCGTGAGCGGCGACGGCAGCCCCAGGGGAGTGCATGACTTCTTTGGCGCCCAGACGTCTGGATGACTTCGTCGGATCGCACACTCCCAAACTTCATAACACAAATCCAAAGACCAGCCACGAAAGGGCGGCCTCGTGCCAAGACCCTCGGGAACCCTCCAAGACAGCTCAAATCAGTTCCCCCCAACTCCCGAACGAGTAATGTCACACTTCTCCGACCCCTCCTACAGCGAGCACAATGTCGAGAACATGCTGGGCCCTGGAGGAAACCTACGAACAGAAGGCAACAAGGCACAATCGCACGAGAGGGAGATGACCGATAAAGGGAGAAGGGGAAGTCGGGAGAAGAGGCAGGGGCGACGAGGGCTACAACGAAGAGAAAACGAACGACCGGAATGAGCCTGGAAGATCCACAAAGTGTGGAAGTATCAATAAGCAGCAACGGGAGACGCATTCAAGAACCAAGGATGACGATGCGGATGTGCAACAAGATGAGGAATAATCTTACGACGAGGATGCCGCATCATCCGCGATGTGATCGTCACAGGCCTGGCTGTGATCGTATTCCTCGTCGCCAAGGCGGCTGATGAGAAGCAGCAGCAACAACATAACAAAACCATTGTCAACCCACCATGTTCATCATACCCCCTGCTAAGGATCCTTGTCTTCCTCCCTCTCGCCTCTTCTCCCGTCCTTAGTTCCTTCTTTCATTCCTCACTTCCTTCCTTCGCGCGACTCGGGCTTCCTCCTCCCCCTCCATGCTCCATCCCCCATCCTTATAGATAGCTCCTCCCTGTCGCACCCCGAGACAGGTCAGTAAGGCGTGCCGGGCGTTTCGCCTGAGTCTTCATCATTTATGGTCCTGGAGCCAAAATTTTGCAGCAACTTCATGGGCGGAGGGCGGGTGACTTTCGAAATGTGGCTCTCGCCTTGGCGCCGCACACATGTGTCTCAGAAGCCGACAAAAGCTTCTCGCATGGAGGGCGGGTGGTTGTCAAAATGGCCCTCGCCTAAGCAACGAACGCACTCGCCTTAAAAACTCGCTACAGTTTCACGGGTGGAGGGCGGGAGGTGTTCAACATGTGGCTCTCGCCCCAGCGACGCGCGCATTCGTCTTCAAAACTTGCAAGAGCTTCACGGCTGGAGGGGCGGGCAGTTTTCAGAATGTGGCTCTTGCCTCAGCGCCGCGCACATTCGTCTTGAAAGCTTGCAAGGGCTTCTTCAAGGATGGAGGGCGTATCCTCTTCAACATGTGGCCCTCGCCTTAACGCAACGCACATGCGTCTTAACATGCTACAACTGTTTCACATATTAACAATACTGACGTCCCAGAAATGGTGTTGGTGTGGCACGATGCTGGATTGTCAGGAAGCGACAGTCATGTTGGCCTGCGGTGTTGAAGTCCTAGGAATGGTCTACGGCACGGGCCTGGATCGCCAAGACGTCACAATAACCTTGGTTCGCGGCCTTAAGGTCCCAAGAATGGTGCTTTGGCAACGCTGAGGGTGTTCAAACGGCTGTCTTCCGACGGGCTTTTCCCGCAATGGAAGAAATCATTGTAGGGACCTGTGAAAGGAGAAACTTGGACAGCAAGTCTATTGCAGCATCGTTGGTAAAGCTTGGGTTTACACTGGTCCCCCATGTTTCTCCTCCTTCCCATACCTCCTCTTCCTCCTTATCCTCCTTCTCATCAGTCTCGTGCTTCCTCATGTTTGTTCCTCAACCCCCTCTCCCCTTCCCCTATTCATCCTTCCGCTCCCCCTATCCTCCACCCTCCACCTCCTCCCCACCCTCGTCTCTACCCCCTCGCCTCGCCTCGCCTCGAAAGCCTGGTCTCTTCCCCCAAAATAATGGAGCAACGGGGCAGTGAGGTGTGTGTGTGTGTGGTGTGTGTGCGTGCGTGTGCGCGTGTGTGTGTGGTGTGTTGTGCTGTGCTGTGTCGTGTGTTGTGTGTTGTGTGTTGTGTGCTGTGTGGTGTGTGTTGTGTGTGTGTTGTGTGTGTTGTGTGTTGTGTGTGTTGTGTGTGTTGTGTGTTGTATGGTGTGTGTGCGCGTGTGTGTGTATATATATATATATATATATATGCGCGCGTGTGTGTGTGTTTGTGTGTGTGGTTGTGTGTGTGCGGGGACAGTAAGCCAGAGCGATCAGCGAACTGGAGATGGGAGGGGAGAAGGAGGGGGAGGACGTCCAGAAAGCGGAGAGCTGCTTCCCCCCCTCCCGCCGCTGCAGAGGGGAAACATTCTAAACACACGCTGGCATCGGAAGGCATTTGCATATTGGGATGCGCTGCAGCCGTCCGCATCACTCTCGATGTACAACGCGGGTGCCGACGGAGAGTCCCGAGTGCGAGCGCGAGGTTGCACTTCCCCGCCGATGGAGGCGCGGCAGCGACGCAGACACGCGAAGAGAGTAGAGAGAGCACGGACACAACCGAGGTGCCAGTGGCGCGATGCCGCTGATGTGCACGAAGTTCCAAGCAGCGAGCTTTTCGGGTCGCGGGGCGGACGATCTCAGGAAGCAATGCGCGCATTGCCACAATCTAGGCTACGAGCCGAATTAAACAGCGCCGTCAAGGAAAGCGGCCCCTCCACCCTTCATGCCCTTAGGCCGCGCAACCGCCGAGTGGCACGCTGGTGCTGGCCATCCCAAAACGCTCTCGTCACCCCCTCACCGCTCGCTAGCCGCTAGAATCGAATCCCCCCCTTCCGAGGAGGAGGTGGAGGAGGAGTGTCACGCCCTGGGGTACAATCATCGTGCTACCAGTAGGTCGGGCATGTCCTCCAAAATGCGGATTTTTGGGAGAACCAATGAACGAGTCAAACAATACGTTCTGCATGATGATAAGAGCACGACAAACTCGTCACCAGACTATTTCCCACAATTCTGGGAAATTCCTCCTGTAGAGGGACATGCCCGACTCAACGATACCATTAGGAGCACAAGCTCAGGAACGGAGGGCTGTGTCGGGCCACGGCGAGCCTCGACCGCGAGCTGCCCCCGGGCCTGGATTTAAGGAATGACCAGGGACCCTCCAGAGCCCCAGGTGGCGGACTTCTTGGATGCGATGCCAGAGGGGGCCCCAGGCGCCGACCCAAGAAGTCGCCGACCTCCAAAAGTGCACGGTGATGCAACTTGTCTTTCCTCGATTCAGCGAATTGACTGGAGGCCTTGCAAGATGGGCCTCGAATACATGGGGCCAGAGAATCGCGCCGTCCTCCTCCTCCTCCTCCTCCTCCTCCTCCTCCTCCTCCTCCTCCTCTGGATGTCGTACACCCCCTCCCTCCCTACCCGGCGCGCGGCCTCCCGGTGCGCCTGCGCCGGGCGCGCCGCTCGGCCAGGTCATTTTCCGTGCGCGGCGCCTCTCGAGGGGGGGGGCAGCGCGCCATCGCTCGGACGTCCATTCCCCGTGCACGTTTCGATTTCGTGCGTGCACTTGTTCCGAGAGATGCTGCAGAATGCTCCTCGATGGTCCTCGCCGAGAAGAAGAGAAGAACGCACACGTCCGAGCGATGCCATGGCAGGGGGAGGGGGCTGCGGCTGGCTCGCGTTGCGATGGTCGCGGTCGTTGGCTTCTGACGCCGCGTGGGTCGTTCAGCCTGGAACGATCGCGGCTTTCCAATAGCGCAGATCGCTCGGCATCGGCCGATTCTGGGCCACTGGTGGCGTTTTACTCTGAACGCCAGCGCTGGGGTCGCCGCCGCGACAGTGCGGCGCAAACCCGCGGCACCGTCAAGTCACTGCCATCAGGAACACGACAAAAGGACCAAAGCCGCCCTTCGTCCTCAGAAAGTGCTCCTTACTTCAGCATCTTGACTGTAGGGGAAGGGTTGGCCGCGAGCCCAGGGTGAAGTGAGAGGGGCAGGTCTTCTCAAAAGGCGGCGGGGCTTCTCAGAAGCTCGTGCCTGCTGAGCAGTCTTCTAAGCCTTTTCCGAAGACAGAGGCGACTTCTCAGAAGGCGCGAGGGCTTCTGAGAAAGCCCGCCGCCTTCTCAGAAGGCATGCTTCTGAGAAGGCATGCCCCCTCTCACTTGCCCGTTGGACTCTACGCCGAAAAAAGGAGGGTGGGGGGAGTCATGGGAGCACTTGAGATGTTTGAGCGATTTTGGTATCATGAGTGTCTTTACAATCGGAGAGACTTCCAAGACGGAAGCGCACAAGATCGCCCCGAGCCCCCCCCACGGTCGCCCCAAGAGGTCCGCCAAGATGGCCCCAAGCAAGGCCCAAATGGGAAACTCGGACGCAAACTTGAAGCCCTCCACCCCGAAATGGCCCACGAGACCGCCAACAGGCCCCAAAGAAGCCCCCGAAAGGTCTCCAGAGGCCCCAAGATGCCCCCAGCAGGAGGCCCCCAAGAGGTCACCAAGATACATTCCAAAGGCCCCAACGAGGCCTCCCAAGAGGCCTTCAAGAGGCCCCCAAAAGGCTACCCAAGAGGCGAAAAGACGCCGATTGCCATCGGCTCAGATACGGTGGCGGCATGGGCCGAAGGCCGCACGAATAGCCGCCTCTCGCTCAAAGACATCGTGCCTCCCTGGAAGCGGTGCGCTGCCTCTCCTGCCCCTCCTCCTCCTGTTCCTCCTCCTCCTCCTCCTCCTCCTCCTCCTCCTCCTCCTCCTCCTCCTCCTCTGCCGCCTCCCTTCATTCCTGGAGGCCTCCGAAACGGAGTCCGAGTAGATGTGGTCGAAGGGCCGCGCCGCATCGCGAATGCATCGCACATGCATCGGCGATGCAGCAGCGACGTCGGTGATGCATCGGCGACGTCGGCGTGATTGACACTGCGCGCCGCGTCGAGCCGCATCGCCGATGCAGCGCCGATGTATCGCCTTTCCCGCTCCTCCTCCGCCGCTGGCGTCTCCTCCTCCCCTCGGGGGGCTATTCCTTGCGGCGGGTTGGTGAAAGGTACGCTCCCTGCTCCCGCTTGCAGAAGTTGGGGCGTGCGCCGATCGCATCTCGTTGCTTTGCGTGGCCCCCTGCTCGCCCTTGTGCCCCTCGGGGCCTCCCCCGTCGTTGCTGCTTGCTGATGGATCGATGTCCACGCGTGCGCCGGTGCTGATCTCCACGCGTGTTTCCCAGCAGGCAGCCTCGTCTCGGAGGTTTTTTTCTTCATATCGAGGGATGTTTGGGCATGCGTGATGGCGTGCGCTCGCAGAGCGAGCTTGCGCTGGCGTGCGTGCATTCGCCGCCACGTCTGTTTGCAGGGTGTCGACTCAGGAACGCAGCCGATTGGACTCCACGGGGTCACGAATCCAAACCTTTCTTGTTGTGTTTCCCAGCCCCTCTGCTCCAAAGAGGCAGCCAGAGACAGACGAGGCGGAGGGGGGCGGAGGAGGGGGGGGGAGAGAGGCGGAGCGAGCGAGCGAGCGAGCAACCGAGGAGCAGCTGGAGGCCGAGCGCCGAGCGGGCCTGCCAGCGCGAGGGGCGGAGAAGGGCGCACGAGTCCCGAGGCCCGCCGCGGGAAGCGGGGCCCGCAGCCGTCAGGGAGGTGGAGGACGAGGGGGAGGGAGCATCGGCAGGAATACTTTTGCGTCGCGGCGCGGCGGAGGCGATCCGCTCGCGCGTGGAGCAGGCCCGGGATGCGGAGTTGCGGAGTGGCCCGCGCGCAAGAGGGTGGGGCGGAACAGCAGAGGGCGGCCGCAAGAGGAGGAAAAAGGGGGAGGGCACTCCCACACGGCGGCGCCGCGGGGAGTGGTCGGCAGGAGTACAGTGGGACGCGCGATAAGGATGAAAGTGCCTCGGGCGGTCATGTCGACACTCTGCGAGCGGCGAGCGGCCGACAAAAGCGGCCAAGGATGCGCCGGAGAGGAAAAATGCGAGGGTACCCTTCGAGAGACGCTCCTTCTGATGCGGGTTGACTGTAACCCTCTCTTTTCGGCTGTATCCGCACAGGGCGCCTGTTCGTTGGCTAGGCAATCATCTGTTTACGCAAAGGGGCCATGCGGGCATTCCGAAGTCTGGCGATTGTGGAGCGGGCATCCGCCAACGAGCACCGGTATCCTCTTCTGATGAACGTGCATCGGACTTATTTCCCTAGCTCCCGCTTCAGCAGATCCACGCTGACCGTGGGGAGAAGCAGGGTGGTCCAACACAACAATGCGATTCGCCCCGCAACATCTATGGACACAAGACCAGCGCAAACTGGATCCGAGGCCTCATCCTGGCAGGGCTGCGCAGAATGGGCAAGCTGACGATGCGGGATGGGACGGGATGGAGCAGGAGCATGCAAAAAGAAACTCGGCGGCGAGCCCGGGGGGAAGTGAGATATGGAGAAGGCCTTCTCAGAAGGCTCGGAAGTCCACAGGTCTTCTCAGCAGTTGTCGGAGCCTTCCCCGAAGACACACAACACTTTTCAGAAGGCGCGAGGGCCTTTGAGAAGCCCCGCCGCCTTCTGAAAAGGCAAATGGCCTCATCCTTCTCAGTTCCCCACTCGCTTGCCGCCCAGATGGAACACAAGCTTGCAAGAAGAAGCGCAGAACATGTGTGAACATTCCAGCCGGACCCAAGACAGAACAACACCCCTCAACAATCTTTAATACAAGAACCTCCGCCGGCCAACACGCACAGAATATCCTAGGATACCCTCCCGGGGGTACACGAGAACATCCAACAAACACCATTGCTGATGCATCGGCCACGTCGGCGGCGCTTCGGCGACGTCGGAATCGGGCTTCACATTGAGCCGCAATCGCCGGTGCATCGGCGATGCGGCGCGATCCTCCGACCCCACCTGCTCGAATCACCCCATGTGGGAGGCGCTCGGTGAAAAGTCCAAACCCAAATTAGGCCGCGGCATCAGCTTGGCCCACAAGCCCAAGCCGCCCTGCCTGGACGCGCCGCTGGACTTCTCTAGCTCCCTGTCCACGGTCTTGGCGACTGCGCCCGCGTTGTTGTTCATGGCCCACGCAGTGCCAAAGGCCACCGCGAAGGAGGGCTCCCGACTCCCTTTTAGGAACGGTTGGGAAGAAGAGGATCCCCCGGGACCCCTCAGAAACCGAAGAGACGTCACAGCCCCTTTGCCACCTTCCCTGCTCCTCGATCCTGGGCCAGCAAATTATCATCAGGAGGTGGCGACCCTGCCTGTGATGACCCCCCGTGGGCTCTGCCTGCATGGCCTTCCCTTTCAGGAAAGAAACGCACTCGGGATAAAAAATGCCGGCCGTCTCTCAAGAAGTCCTTCTCGGCAAGCAGGCCGTCTACGGCTTCGCTGTCGCACGCGTCCCCCGGGACCTCGCGCAAGTTTTCCCTGGTGATGTATCTGGAGTTGTCCACGTCAAATTTCGCGAAGGCGGACCTCAGGTGATCTTCGTGCATGCCGATTTTGGCGCCAACCATGGCCGCGAGGAAGTCGCTGTAGTGGATCTCTTCGTCGTGGTTATGGTCGAGGGCGCGGGAGATGTTGTGACCTTCCTCTCTGGGCGCGTGAAACTTAGTCTGCAACACTATTTTCAGCTCTAGGACGGTGACCGCGCCTGTCCGACCCTCGTCTAATATCATTGCGTTGGTCGGGGCGCCGCCCATCTAGGAAACCCAGCGCGACGGCGGCCTGGCAATGACAATCACGGACGGACAGACGGGCGGGCACTATTTCGGGTCCCAGATGAAGACGAAAGAGAGGCACCAGCGCGGGCCGCGCGAGAAGACGAAGAAACCCCGTTGCGGGCACCAACAACAAAAACAAGACAGGCTGCAATCGAACGACTGGCGTCCGGGCAAACATTACAGGAAAGCCCAGGCATGGCCTCCGCCGCGCACGGCCGAGCGCACGCCGATCGACCTTCTGGCCACATGATAAGCACACTTCTTGCGCATTGAATCCGAGCACATGGCGCCCAGAGGCGGCATACAAATCATTGCCGTTCATGGGACCCGGCCACACATGCGGTCGGGCCCGGGCGCGGCGCCAGCCGTCCTCGTCGTAGGCGATGCCATGCCGCGCCTGCTGGGCAGGATGGCCAACCACGCGCGCGGGGCTGAGGCGCGCGAGCGTGCCGCCATACGCCACCATTTGGACAGTGGAGTCCTTCGGGGCACAAGCACTAAGAGCAGCCTCGCTCTGCCTCCCGCCCTCCTGATGGGCAGAAAGCTCAAGGTGCGCCGTCTCCAGGGCGCTTAGGGCGCGGCCGCGCATGGCCAGACACTCACTGAGAGGGTCGGCGCCAACGACGCGTTCCCTGACTCCGATCAGAGGAGCACCGCCCAGGGCTGTCTTGAAGACGTGGCACATCTGCAGCTTGCTCTGCCGGATGACGGTGCCCCGGAAGAAGGTCACGAGTTTCTTGCGCGGGGCTCGGCAGTCCACCAGCGGTCGCACCGCCAGGGCTTGCGCGGTCGCCGCCTGCGCGCAGCCGAACACACGCCAGGAGAGGGCGAAGCAGCGGATGGGCGCCGCGAAACCCACAGCGTGTTTCTCCAACACCTCGATCACGGCCTGCACGAGCATGCCCTTGACCTTGAGAGTCTGGGGCAAAACGGCGACGGACAGGTGCAGGTCTGGCATGTGCAACTTGCCAGGGCCTTCCTTCACTGTGAGGCGCGTCTGCGCGTGAATCTCGTAGAACACCGCCAGCTCCACCAGACGCGCGGTGCCGCAGGAGTCGCGGGGAGGAGCATGGTGCGCCGCCACTTGCAGAAACGGTCGTGAATCTGGCGGCCGTGCACCAGCTGGTTGCCGAACACCGCCGGGGGCAAAAAAACATCCTCGTTGCGCCACGGGGTGGCGAAGGTAGGAGATACGCCCCGCACCGAAGGGCTGCGGCGGTAGGGCGTCAGAGTCGTCAGCGCCGCCGGGGCTGGGCCTCCAAATGCGTCGCTGGCCTGCCCCCGGTCGTCACCGCTGCGCGCATCAATCATGCGGCGCTGCACCGCAAGCTGAAAACACTGCGCGCGGCAAGCCAAGGCCGCGACCCGGTGCACCTCCGCGCGGGCGGCGTCGCGGGCGCCCTCGTGCTCGGACTGGCCCCGTTTGGCAACAACGTCTGCTCTGTCGCTGCCGTTCCAGAGGTACGTCTCCAGCGCCATGCGAGCGTCGGCGAGCGTCGTGTGAGACTCGACCGACATTTGTTGTCACCACCACGCGTCGGGCGAGGCGGGCGCGGAAAGCGTCGTCGACCAGACAGGTCGCTGTGCAGCCGGGCGGCGTAGCAGCCAGGCAGGCCGCGGCCAGCAATGGCGACGCGGGCCTGGGCCTCGTCCACCACGGACGTGCTATCGATTCAGACCCGGAAGTCGTGGTCCTCCGACTCTCGTCTATCGCTATGAACGCGTCGCGGCCCTTCGCGCGCTCCTCGTTCGACGTGGACCGCGCCATCATCTCCATACAATTCGCTGTCTGTCTGGAAGCGCGGAAAGCGTCCGCGACATAATGATCGGCCGTATACTGCCTGGGACCTGTGTGTTTGAGCAATGTATGCGCAAGGGCCTGCTTTGAGGACAATCGTTTTGCCGGATCTCGATGCAGAAAGCCAAAGGTGAAGTCCCTGCCCTCAACTGACACCTTGCCCCAACGCTCTGGCCTCATAGTAAAATTGGCAGCTGTGATGTTCCCGCGCTGTTCTGCGTCTGAAACCGAGAAGGGTGTGCAACCAGCTAGCAGTATAATGGCGATGACTCCCAGGCTCAATCGATCACACTTGTCTTTGTGACTGTAAAGCAGCACTTCTGGAGCCTCATATGACAGCGTCCAACAGCTCACCTTCATCTTTACGCTAGGGTCGCACATATCACTGAAGCCGAACTTAACCAGCTTGATGTGATTACTGTCCTATGCATTGTTCAAGAAAGATTCGAACATACAATCCCTAGGGGCCATGTCGTGGCTGTGAAGGTCACTGCCAGCAGCATCTGGTCAACTGCATGTGCAGCATCATGTTCCTTGAAGGTCTTGAGCTCGATTGCACGATCCATCAACTCGCCACCCTCTATGCATCCCGTGATCAGATACAATATATCAAGTTCTTCGCGAACGTCATAAAACCGAACAACGTGAGGATGACCCAATGATACGAACACCTCAACCTCCGACACCAACATTCTGCGCCCATCGGGGGCTACCCGTGCAAGCTTGAAAGCCGTCATGGCGCACTCTTGACCCGAGGGATGTTGCTTGCTCGCTGCAATTTGCACTTCTCCATTCAGGCCAGAGCCCAAAAGCGGGCCCTGTACGACATAGTCTTCTGACATTTTCTTGGGGGGCCTGTGGTATCAGCCTGAGGCTGCGATTTGACCAGACATCGTCTCTACTTTCTCGTCATCGGTCACGGATTCACGCATGGCGGGCTTGCTTGAAATCGCGACGAGTATGCTTGAAGCCTTGCTCGAAGCCATTCCCGTCGGGCTCTTCACAACAGTGCTGCCCAGGGTGCCAAGGTTCCGCGAGCGATGCTGCTGAGGAAAACGAGAACGAAGTCCAGAGCGCTTTGGCTTGTGGGCAGGGGGTGGGCCGCAGATTGACGCGGGCCCCCCAGCATGCGACGCAGCAGGATTGGACAGCCTTGGGCCACAACGACAACGGGGCAGCAGGATGAGGACGATGAGAAGACAGGTAGCCCAGGCTGGCCTCGAGCCCCCCAAGGTTAGCCCAGGGCGGTCTCAACACCCCAGCGCACGGGCTCGGGGGCCCTCGGCTTGGGGTGGATCATTTTTCGCCGCGGGTAGCTTCCTGATGGTCCCAGGGCCCGGACGACGCGGAAGGTCTGACAGTAGGAGGAGACACTGGGGGATGCGGAGGGAAAACCCACATCTTGCTTCCAGGTTTCCATCTCAGGATCCATCGGCATGCCCTCCGCGCAGGGATCACAATTTCGACAAGCGCGCTTCATTCATTACGCAGCCGATGCATCCAAGGGAGGAGGAACATAGAGGACAAAGTGGAATGCGCTGGGGGGCGCATTGTCCTAAGACGGCACCCGAAGCAAGATAACAACGTCGACTGAAGACAAATAGACAGGGAAGGTGGAGGAGGCACTCCGCGGGCACTACCGTAAGAAGACAGGAGGACCTTGACCGCTCCGCGAGGACGAACCAAAGAGTGGCAGCGTCAGCAGCACATTTGCATCGGGCCCAGTCCATGACGCTGCCGATCCAGACTCGGCTCCACCGAAGGTTGCCCCAGAGGGGCAGAATCGAACGGGAGGAGGGGGAAGGAGGAGGAGGAAGAGGAGGAGGAGGAGGAGGATATGGCGGAGGCCGTGGCGGAGGAGGAGGAGGAGGAGGGGGAGGAGGAGGAGGAGGAGGAGGAGGAGGAGGAGGAGGAGGAGGAGGAGGAGGGGGAGGAGGAGGATGGAGGAGGCGGAGGAGGCGAAGGAGGAGGGGGAGAGGGGGAGGAGGAGGAGGAGGGAGGAGGAGGAGGAGGAGGAGGAGGAGGAGGAGGAGGAGGAGGAGGAGGAGGAGGAGGAGGAGGAGGAGGAGGAGGAAGGGAGAGGAGGGAGGAGGAGGAGGAGGAAGGGAGAGGAGGGAGGAGGAGGAAGAGGAGGAGGAGGAGGAGGAGGAGGAGGAGGAGGAGGATGAGGAGGAGGAGGAGGAGGAGGAGGATGGGGGGGTGGCGGAGGCCGTGGCGGAGGAGGGTAGTGGGTATGGGAACGGGCCCGTGCAGAGGTGCGCGGTCGTGGCCAAAAACCTGCTGCACCCGTCGGGGCCAGGGCACCTACGGCCATCGTGCTACCAGAAGGGAGCGCCAACTCAAGGAACGAGGGTGTATTTTCTGGCCACGGCGAGCTTCGGCAACGAAAAGGCTCACCGACCTGGGTCGAAGGAGCGGCCCAGAGGGAGGCGTCGCAGACCGAAAACCTCCGCCCCGACGCCGTGGGGCCTCCCATAGCTCTCAAGAACTATCTGGAAATAATTCGTGTGCGCATGCACGTAGATGCTTCCGTGCACGCGTGCATGCGAGCACGCAAAAAGGACGTGCATGCGTGCATATGGGCAAGTACTTCTCCGACTCGGCTACACCCAAGAGTAACCCCAGGCAAGAGTGACATTTGGCGAGGGGGCAGGGAGGGAGAAGGAGGAGGAAGAGGACGACGACGACGACGACGACGACGACGACGACAACGACCTCCTCCTCCAGAGGTCGTTAAACGTCTCCAAATCGCCGAGCGCGTTCCACTACTCGCAAAGTACCTACTCGCAAACTTCCGAAAAAAACACCTGTCTGCTTGGAGTTCATTTATCGTAGAACCCCCGCGAGGGATCCAGGCCATTTGCGAGTAGTTACTTTGCGAGTAGTGGAACGCGCTCGTCGACCAAAGATCTCCCAAACCCCCGGAGGCCCAGAAAGAGCGAACAATGCTCGAAAGCATCAGAAACCGAAGACCCTCGAACCTTGAACCACGACGGCGAGGACGACCGATACCCAACGAGGAACGGCGACGGTCGACGGCGAACGATGAAAGCGGACGACGAAGACGAGGAGGGACGACGACGGACAACGGACGATTACAAGGGAAGACGACGACCTCGAGCCCAGAAGTCCGTTCCCGTGGTCCACCCTGGCCTGTTTCGATGCGTGACGTCCCCAAGACACGAAACGGGCCTCCACAGACCAAACAAAAAACGAGAGGCCCCTGCGAACCTCGGAGATACTGCTGCCGGCCACGCGCCATACTGGGCGTCGGACCCTCGCCGTCGGTCAAACTGCATCACATGTGGAATCGACACGCATCCCCCGCTCACTGCTACACTCTCGCGCAACCCGCGCCTCTGGGGCCAGGCGCGGACCTCGACAGAGATCTCCGCCGCGCCCCGACGAGGGTTCATCAAACCTTTGGCGCCACGTGGTGACCCCCTAATTAAGCCCCAACGGCGCCCATCGCAAACCACACCCTGGCGTAACCACACCCATTGTAGTCGCCGACACTCGCCGCCGCCAACCTCGGCCCGGCGACTTGCCGGGGCGCGCCTCCGTGCTCCGGCGGCGGAAACGACGGCCCCTCAGATCCGACGCCACGAAAATCATGCAACATCATGGCCCCGCCTTTCTGCGGCGCTCCGAACGTCGGATCGATCCGCGAAGGTCCCGGGGCCCGTCACAAGGCGAAATCGCCTGGAGCGAAACAAATGCGACGCCACGGTCTCAAGGGAGGCGACGACGACGACGACGACGCCGACGATGACGACGACGTCAGCGGCCTGCTGGTCAGCCGGCGTCGGCGGGCGCCCCGCCAGCTGGCCGCAGCGGCGCCGCCGCCGCGGCCTCGACGCAGAGGCCGAAGGCCCCGAGCCAGGCGGTGAGGTCCTCGGGGCCCTCTCCGCTGGGCTGCGATTCCCTCGGTGCTCTCTCCAGTGGCGATCGGCTCTGCACGCAAGCGTGCCACTGGGCAGGAGTGGGCCTTGATGGCGCAACGAAAGGGGGGGATTGGCATGGGGGGGGCGCATAGACCTGGAATCGGCGATACTTCGCCGATAAATCGGGAGTGGGCCCCCGACCGTGAATCCGCAAACGCCTGGGCCGGTCGAGGCTATCGGGCCCCCATCGGCGATCAATGGGCGATTAGGGGTCGATGCATCTCCCCCATATGCCCATCCCCCCCCCTATCGTTGCCCCTGAGGCCTTTGGTGAGCGGCGTGTCGATCGTTGCATGCGGTGTGATGATCGCGGCCGGCGCGCTTGGCTTACCCCCTCGCGTGCCCCCCCCAGAGCTGCGCACCAAGGGCCACTCCAGCGAAAGGTCACACGACTCGGGGACTGCGTACTAACGTTTTGCACGGCGGGGCCCCGCGACGCTCCAGCCTGAGGGGCCAGCCGTGGGGCTTCGGTGTGCGCGGCAGGCAGCATTGTGGGCAGGAGAGATGCGCGCGTTTGCGCCAGCCCTGGCTGGGGCGACCCTCGGCCCATGATCGAGACCAAGGTGCACAAACAATCTCAAACCAGGTGCAGCAGAAGTTGGGGCATCAATCCTGTTTGTCGGGCAAAATGCTGGTCCACCCGAAAAAACCGCTTTCCCGCCAAACTGCTGCCGTGGCAGACGGACCGATGCCTCTCGGGTCAAATCAGGACGGCGTACGCGCCGATCCTGGGGTCAAGATGGGCGTGGTCAACATCGACATGTCTAGTGCGTGCATAGGTCTTACTAACGTTACCAGACATCGGTGGACAATTCGCTGTCAGCGACACCCGCAGCGATGCATGCCAGTAACTGCGCCCTACCGCCGCGTCGGAGGAATAAAGCGCGTAAGCACACTTACTTTCGTGAGAGCATCCCGCCCGCCTGACGCTTCCCGCGGGCCTTGGCTTTCCGTCTGCGCGTTCGTCGCTGGCGGCTTGCATACAGTCTGTCCTGGGACAAAAGAACATCCTTCAAGAACGTGAGACCCTCCACCGTCCAAGACACATAGAATGTCCAAGAGTACCCTCCCCAGGATGCACAAGAACATCCAACAAACAAGAACAACATTGGGATACCCTCACCGAGCCGAACTAGATCTTATACCTCGGCCCCCAACTGCGTGCAGACGGAAAAGGCACGGAAGAGCGCTGCAGCAGCACAGGGACGGCGGGGAGGCCGACACTGGGAGAAGAACAGGCAGGAGAAGTTCATTCATGCCGTGGCGATGTCCAGGCTCGCAGCTCTACTCATCCTCGTCCTCCTCTTCTTCATCCTCTGAACTTTCGACAGACTCTGGATGGCGAGCAGATAAGCAGAACAGGAGCACGACATGCAGCAGTGATGCAGTAGCCGCACAGTAACTAGATGGATAGCGAGTCTAGGCAGAGTGTGAACGCCCTGGCGATCATAAAGTAACAACGCTAAGCTGGAAATCGTTTCCCACTGCGCCTCCTCCCCTCCAATTATCCTAACCTTGTTCGGCCCTCCATGAAGGCCTCCTGGGGCCTCCAAATGTGCTCCGAGAATCTCCAGGGATACCTGGGAAACTCCGGAGACTTCAAACGCATGTAGCGACTTTGGCTCGGGCCCCGTAAACGGGGACATCGATAAGCCAGGACTTTGGAGCACCCAAGAGAGATGCAGCCGATGGTAGAAACAGCCTCCATGATTCGTACTCTGCAGCTGGAATGTTCAACCTACATGCTTGAGATGTCCTAGTCTCAAGGGTACTGATCGACTCGAAGCGAAAACATGCTGGAAGTTCTTGAATTTCTGGACTGTGTTTTTTTCCATATTCGGCGTTTCGAGAATGGCGGAAGGGGGGAAGGGGAGGGTCTGTCTCCGGACCTCTGCTTGATGCGACTGTTTGCAACAGTCGCATCAAGCGCATATAGTTTTCTTTTGGAGCTGCATGAAATGTGTTGTTTTCGTCTGGTTGGAATCCCACTGGCCCTCCGGACGCAGGTCGTTTAGCGAGCTGGCTCTTTTCTCCTTTCGTGGGGAGGTCTGCCCCTTCCCCTACCGCCCCCTCCTGCTGGATATCGAATGGTCGAATTAATGGTCCAGTTTGGCATCAGATGGCCCCAACATGTTCCCAGATAGCCCTTAGATAGCCTCCAAGATGGCTCAAGATGACCACCAGCATGCCTTGAAGAAGCCCCAAGACGGCCTCTCACGATTCCAAGTGGCCTCGAAGCTTTCCCAGGACGTCCCCGAGAGACAAAAATCCTTCACGACCAACTGCTGTCAATGATTTGTCTTCTCGCCTTTCCAGCTCCGATGGCCTCCAGGCGGAGCCCAACATCGACGCCTGGCGAGCCACAGGTGCAAGGCTGGATTGACAAGCAGTGGAAGGACTTCACATACGCGGTGGAGGATGCCATGAGGGATGCAGGGAGGCGTTGGCAATGCCTGGCTTCGCCCAGGCCGCCGTCGACGACGACGACGCCGACTAGACGCAGCAGCCAGAGGAGAGGTGGACCCCCACAGAGTACACGGGAGCCCCCCTCAGCTACGAGCGGCCGGACAGAGGGCCACCGCGAGGACGGGAGCAGCACGCATCAAGGAGGTGCAGTGGCCCACTCGGCAGGCAGCGGGAGCAGGCAGATGCCAGCAGCGCCGCGTGGCAAAGACCCTGGGCCGGCTCGGGAGGCTGCGCTGGCTGGAAAGCAGCGGGAGGAGGATCGCCAGCGAGGCCAAGGAGCCGAGGATTAGGACAGACTGGGCTGCAGGACTGCGGCTCCAGGAGCAGCAGAGACAGCCGCTGGTCAGCAGGTTGCAGAGGTTGCAGCGGCGGATCGACGACCACAAGAAACTGCTGACCACCCACCAGGAGGCGGACAAGCAGCAGCGCCTAGCAAGTGGGTCGATGACATGCAGGGCCTGAGGCGAGCGCACCGATGGGTACGATGCGTGCTGCCGCCAGCGCTGGCCGTGAAGGCGGGCACAGAGAGGATCTCCAGGAGCACAGGCGAGGCCCTCGACATGCTCCAGGAGAGGTGGCGTGATGTCCGGGACCGCGAGTGCCCGGAGCCCGGCGCCTGGTGGGCGTACCTGGAGGCCAACCTCCCTCGCTTCGACGAGGGCCTCTGGCCTGACCTCGACGTTTTCGCTCTCAGGGACACGCTGCGAAACTCCTCGGCGGGCCCCGACGGCTGGACGGGCGACGAGTTGGAGGCCCTGGAGCTCATGCTGGAGGCCGTGGTGCAGCTCGACAGCACCTTCGAGGACCACGGCAGGGTCCCGACCGCTTGGAGCAGCCTCCGGCAGGCACACATCCCCAAGACGGACCTTGACGCTGCTGGAGGCGCCATCGCCGTGGAAGCGCTGAGGCCCATCGCAGTGGCGAGCGCACTGTACAGATTGTGGGCCAGCTCCCGATTCAGATCGGGAGCCTGCGCCCGCTGGATCGCCGAGTGGTGGGACGACGACATGCCCGGCGGCCACCGTAAGGCCATGGCGGCGGAGGGTCTGGCTTGGGCGTCCGGGCAGGTGGCGCAGGGCAGATTCCTGTGCTCCAGGGACTACACGATGGCTTTCGACCGCAAGCGCCCCGTGGTGCCGGAAGCGGCACTTGACATCCTGGGGCTCCCAGGAGGCATCAATGGCATGCTGGCGGAGGTCTGGCAGTACCAGGAGAGGTGGCTCCAGCTCAGCCAGGCGGTCCACCCCGACAGGCAGGAAGTCACCTCGAGCCTCTTGCAGGGCGATCCGTTCTCGCTGGTCGCCCTCTCAACCATCCTCCTGGCTCCGCTGAGAAGGGTCAAGGAAGGCTGCCCCGACGTGCAGAACCCTCCTCTACGTCGACGACAGAAAGTGGACGAGCGCGTCACCAACCACCGCGTTGCCGGAAGGCGCCGAGTGGGACCTAGCCTCCCGGGTCCTAGGCCTCAAGGACAACGCAGGCAAGACCCAGTGGCTCCACAAGTCCCCGCACGGCAGGCGGAGGCTGCACCAGAGTGGCATTGACACGACCGAGGTGCTCCTCGCTGCGGACGTGTTGGGCAGCAGAGTCACCAGGGGCGTCTGGCGGGCCCTCTCCCGCAAGGGACAGAGGAGGATGCAGGACATGCACGCGCAGCTGGTGAGAACGGCCAGGCTGCCAACGCAGAGGCAGGATAGGATCAGAGTGGCGCAGGCGGGGCCCCCTGGAGGGCCATGGCAAAGGTTGGGAAGACTCCGTTGCTCTCGATCGCACCGCTCCAGCGCCTGGCGCTCCGGCATCGAAGCGACCTGTGGTTCAGAGCCCAGCGCGACACTCTCCTCACCTACGCCAGGGTGGAGCGGACGCCCTCACCCACGTGCCATCACCCACGTGCCCTGGAGGCACGCTGGCACGACAGGGATGGCGGCAAGCTTGCAGCGACACCTCGCCTGGACGCGGTGGTTGCGCCAGGAGGCGCCGCCCTGGAGCCGGAAGCACGAGTGCCTCCCCAACTACACGTTCTCGATGGACGCGCATTCGCCCGACTGGAAGACTCCGCGGCTGCTGGGCCACATGCTGCGCAAGGCGTCGCGGTGGAAGATGCACCGGGAGGCGATCACCTCGGACGAGCACGAGATGATCGGGGTCAGGGCCGCGGGATGGGGGCTGGCTACGATGAGAAGCGCATCAAGGCCGTGCAGACCCTCTGTCGTGAAGACAGGCAGCAGCTGCGGGTGATGACGGGAGCGGTGCCCTCCCCACTGGCGACTTCCATCATGTCCTACGGCGGCGCCTCCGGACACTGCCCCCCGTGGCGCGGCTGCGAAAACGGAGACTTTGACCATGTGGTGTGGGTCTGCGGCGGAAGCCCAGGGGAGGCCGATCCCTCGTCCGGCGGACCCGCTCCAGCGCCGGCTCTGGCCCACGGGCCGCAAGGAAAGTTAGGTCGCAGACGCCCTCATCCTCCAGTAGGGCGTCGAGATCGACAAGCGCATCAAGAATCGGATATACCATGCCGACGGCGCCTTCGCGCAGTGCGGCGTCACACCGGGGCAGGAGGACGGGGAGGAAGAGTAGGTCAGCCAGCCCGGGCGCCCCCTCCGCCTCAGCAGCACCCGCCTGCCAAGGCGGCTTCCCGTGCGTGGTCATCCAGACGGCCCCGTACTGTATCCTCAACCTTTCGGCCCAACATCGATGAAGAGAGCTCCCAAAAGGGCCAGCCCAAGGCCCCCGATAACACCCCAAGCGCGTCCCAACATGGCCCCTGGAGCAAACGGTTCGGGCTGTGACGGGGGGTCCCCAGTTTCGGTCACCTCTGTTCCTTCATTGATGTCATCCAAGGAAACCCCTGAGAGGGCCCCCGACGGGGCCCCACAAGAACCTCAAGAGGGCCCATAAGATACATCTCAAAAGGGTCCCAAGAGAGCCGAGATTGCTCCTAAAGGGCCCCAGAGCTTTTGAGTTGAAGTTGAGAAGCGTCGGCCTCTCGAACCCACTCGCTTTGTGCATAAAGATGTCCTTATCCTGACAAGATGATTGGGCATCGTTTCTGGATGGGCTGTTGGGAATACGCAAAAAAACAAGACTCGGATCACACGCCTGTGATGAAACTGCATCTTGCGAATGTAGGCCACATCGTAATTCAGAATATGCTTCGAAGGCAAACAGCGCGGGCCCATGTCAACAACTACATGCCATTCCAGAAGCATGTGGCGGCAGAGATCCAGATTTGGCATCGCTGCTGAACTCGAAAACGTAGTTGCGAAATCGGGCCACAGTTTGATGGTGAAACACAAGATTATGATCAGGGGTGCGTATGCATAATGGGTGGCCTGGCTTCAAAACGTTTTGCCAGGCTTCGTGAATAATACTGCCCAAGTGCAAGCATGTACCACTCCATGCCGTCCCAAGTCAAAGTCGTGGTCCGATGGCAAAACCATGCTGAGGCGTGGTCTGGCCAACATGTGGTGGTAGATGCTGCCGTGGGGACGAGCCCTCCAAGCTCCCCCCCCATCAAGATATGAGCAGTAACGCGAATACTGATACGTCCACAATGCCCCCGTCCTCCCTACTTCCCCTAGTGTGTGGGGGGGAGCAGGAGGAGAGAGGTGCGCACGGGAGCGCGCGCCGAGGATGGGGAGGATGAGAGAGAGGATACGGCAGGTTCGTGTCGTGACGACCCCGGCAATGGTTTTTGACACAGCGGTGACCGTTCAACCTTGAACGATCGGCCGTTTCCGCAACGTCCGATCGTTCAACATCGACCGATTCTGGGTCGCTTGCGGCGTTCAAGGTTGAACGCCGGCGGCGGGGTCGCCGCTGGTCGACACGACGCGAACCTACCGTACGGCAGAAAGGTTAGAAAGGGAGGGGGGAGGAGGAGGAAGAGCATGAGGAGGATCAAGGTAGGACGGGAATGTGCTCATGATAAGATCAGCACAGGATGCATGTCGTCTAGAGTATCTAGCGGCCATCGTTTCTGCAGCCCGTGTGGAAGGCCGGAGAACCTGGGAAATCCTATGAATCGTGTAACGTATCAGTCTCATTACCTCTTGCTCCTCTGACACGAGGAGGAGGGTGGGAGAAGCAGGAGGAAGGGAAACAAGACGACGACGACGACAATGGCGACGACGACCACGACGACCGCGAGGACGACGACAGCGGCAACGAGCAACGGCGGCGACAACGAGCACAACCACGACCACGACGACGACCACCGACGTCGGCCTCCGCCTCCGCAGATCTCTAGAGGCCCCGCGATGTTTCCAGATTTCCCCAGAGACCTCTTGAGGCCTCAAGGAGCCCAAAGATCACCCCAAACGTTAGAACAATGCAACCCTCGAATTTCAGCTCTGGAATCTCGTCGTCGTCATCGCCGCGATAAACCCGGGGAATCTCCAAGAAACTCGGAGGATCTCCGAGAACCTCCAAACAGCTCCCAAAACACTGAACGGATCGGAAACTCGCACATACCTCAGCAAGGGAGCTGCCGGGAGGACCTACACCTGCTCACGTGTCGTGATTCAAAATATCGCAAACATGAGATGTTGCAACTTGCATCGTCACGGTCGCTACATGTTCGCACGTGTTGCTTGAGACCGTCTATGCAACGACCTATGGGACGCTCTCGGAATCGCCGGGCTGACGTGCGCGGCTCAACATGTGGAATCCGATTGATGTTGTACCGTCCATGCAGATGCCTCCGTGTAGACCGCCTTCTGTGCCCACGCCCCACGCCCGTGCCTCCCGTTTGTAGATCGTGACCAGACCTCCGAGAATCTTAGATAATATCCGAACACCTTCGACGCCTTTGAACATCACAGGAACATAAGGCATACGAGAACACCCAGAGCCTTCGACACCATGCAAAAACCTTCGAAGACCTGCGATGACTTGAGAAACCTGCGAAGCTGGCTGCACGCATGAGTGACCCTGGGCAAGAGTGACGTTCGGCGCGCGGCTTTATGGAGCAGCGACGGAGGCCAAAAAACCCAGGCGACCCAAGTGCGCCAGCGGGTGCTGGCCGGACCCCATGCGGGCCCGCACCAAGGTAACTCCAACGAAGGGCCGCTCATACCCAGACGTCCGACGATCGGACTTTGCCAATCCGCACCCCACAGGTCCCGACCACTTCCCAAGGGATGAGCTTTCGTACTGGATGCGCTTTGATGGCCCTGGCGGGCCACGATGGGCCACCGATTTTGGAGGCCCCGGCTGCCCCACGGGACGTCAGAACAGACTCATAGAAACCTCACAGACAAGCTGTTCGGAGAATCCCAAGAAACCGTTCCAGACGAGCTGCACGGGGATGTTCTCGGACAGCTGGGGCTTCGAGTGTCCTTCGAAGACGACAAGCCGACGATGCGCCGACGACGACGCCGACGCCGAGGCCGCCGCCGCCGACGAAGACGACCACGACGACGACGACGATGACGACGAGCGCACGGCGAGGCCTCGGCGCCCGCCGCTGCCGCGGCGGGGCCCCCGAGCAGCGCCGCCAGCTCGCCCCCGGGGCCCCGCCGCAAGGCCTCGCAGGCCTTTAGGGGGGAGGGGGTGGGGGGGAACTGTGCGTGCGCCATATAATGTTAGGAAGCAAATACTGGGAGGTCTTCGTCGGAATGGTGAAGGATGATTGAACCCCATTGGGGGGCTACTACGCACGATTGGCCCGCGGATTCAGCAGGATCAGGCCGGATTAAGCAATATTAGGCGGGCTCCAGCGGGACTAAGCCGGATTAAGTTGGATTCGAACGAGGGCAAACTCTGAATTACACCTCCCAAGAAATGCATCCGAACATGCCCTTGACACCTCTGCCGTTCGTTGCCTGTTCCCCCGTTGCAGCCAACAAGCAGCGGTGTGAATGATGTGTTCAAACAGTGCGTGGATAGCGACATGCATGCCGCAACCGTTTCTGAGCTCGGGCGCCTTTCGACGGACCAAATATGGTTACCCTGTCCGGCCGAACGCGATGCGGGAGTAAAGTCGAAGAGGCACTGGCTGAAAATACGAGGTCGAACCGAGTGAAAGTAGCAGACTCAAAGAGCTTCGCTAGTTGACAGGGGCTGGACTTTTTGCTGGAGGGGTGCAAGAGTAGCTTCGAAACTTGGCCGCGGTCGAAGTTTTTGGGCAATCTTTATAGGTAACGCCCACACTTCCCACCCTGTTCGTTCTTTCCTTTCTGCTCCACCTCCTTCTCCTTCTTCTCCTCTTCCAATCATCCAATCCATCATCTCTCCTCCATGATCCCTCCTCCCTCCTTATCCTTCCTCCTCCTTCTCCACCTCCTTCTCCTTCCCTCCGCTTCCTCTTCCCTCGTTTCCCCCCTCTTCCCCTCTTCCTCCGCTACTCCGCACCGTTTGGGAAGGGACGGGGGGGGCGAGAACGGAGGATGAGAGAAACGAAAAGGGAGGAGGCAGCAGGAAGGAAGGGGAGACGGACGTAGGAGAAACAAGAGGAGGAGGAGGAGGAGGAGGAGGAGGAGGAGGAGGAGGAGGAGGAGGAGGAGGAGGAGGAGGAGGAGGGAGAGGGAGGAAAAGGGAGGGAAGAGGAGAAGTGAGTCTGAGGGCGATCGCGCTCCATAGCATACCAACGAGAACATGGAGCATGAGACTAATAATGAGGACGCGCGGTACATGGAAGATGCCTTGTACCGTGTCCAGGAAGTATCACGACGACAATAAGACATGAGTAGCATGGGCACGGTAGGCTAACCGACCGTGCCCCGGGACCTTCGACTGACCAAGTCTCACTCAAAAAGGCGAACGAAACTGCAACGGAAGGGCCCTCGACAGACGGGGCCACTTTCCAAACATTTGCGGGGGGGGGGATTTCTTCTGCGGCGGCGCGCAGAGACCGACTTGCATTATCAACTGCCAGAAGAAAAAAAAACGCCCCGCCCACACAATTGATGGCGACAGCCCTCTCACCAGCATGTGGCCCTCCTATTGCGCTTTCGCTGGCCATATCGCATTCGCTCACATAGTGCTCGATATGCGGGCCACTGCACCTCCCTCTTCCTGATGGACTGCGTCGCAATCGCGAACACAGTTCGCGACGTGCGCCTCGGTCGTTGCATTCGCGAACATCGTCCAGACATGCGACGCCGAATGGGTTGCCCAGTAGCGTCACCGTTGTTCTTGTTGAGGTCATTGTGGCGAGAACTCGGCACCGTCTTCTTGCGCCGCTCCTCGCTCAACCTCGCTGCGCGGTGGTCGTAGGCGAACTGCCCCTCCATGATGTCGAGGATGAGCTCCTGGCCGAGACTTTTCTTCGTCATGGGGTCGGCCCTCATGTCGCGGGTGTCATACCACAACATGTCGGTCACAATTTTGCGTGCATCTAGTATGCTAGTCACCGTAAGTGGCCTGCCAGACTTGTCTCTGATGGCGGTCGCGCGTGGTCCAAGGACAAGGCGGAGAAAACGGACGCAACTTCCGCGACCAGATCGGCCGGCACCGCGCAGCCCCCCTCAGCGCGCTGCCTCCTGATTTCATTTTCTGAGGCGGGTCTGCGCACCATCTCGCGGACCGTCAGGAGGTGCGCTTGTATGCCGTCCGCTGCTCCACATGCTGCGAAAAAACTCACTGCCGAATGACGATCGACACGCAAGCTTGCACGATCGGCTCACTGCGTCGAGAAAGTGGCAGATCTGTTTACCAGTGCTGCGGCAATGGCCTAGACGCAGATATACGGCGCCACGAACCTCATCTTGGCTCCTCTTCACGCTTGAACGAGCCGTCGCTGTGCACGCAGATCTGGCCCTCGCATTCTATCGCCGGGATAACGACGCGCGCCTTGATCTTCTGCATGGCCAGAACAATGGAGTTGAGCTGCATCGCGCGTATGTGAGCAGCATGTTCTCGGCCCGTTGTAGCGCGACGATATACACGGCAACGCGGCGTTGCGCGAGCAGCGCGTGAGCGGCTGCTCCGAAGAGGGGGACAAAGAATTCTGGGAGTGGACCTCCGGCCGGCTCGTCGCCCTTCGACTTGACCAGGCCGACGTGCTGATGGGAATCAGCGCGTCGATGTAGTTACTCGTCCTGGTCGAGCGTCGCTGCGCCGATGGCACTGCGGTGTTGTTTGACTCCGCAGCTGAAGTCTTTGTGGTCGCCCTTGGAGGCGCTCTCGATGTGGTCGATGAGAGATGAGTCGGTCGATCCTGAGATCAACAACGAGCTTGGACAGCATGAGCACTCACGCTGAGCCGCCTGCGCCACAGGTGCCGGACGCAACTCAGGGCCCAGCCGAGTCGGCTTGGCGTTGCACTCGGGCGAAGGGGTGACCCGATTGGATATGATTGTAGTACCAGGTAACCGGACTACAAATACAATAAGTTTTCAAATTGTGATGTTTAACATTGTGATAAAACCTGTGGGTGGTTCCGAATTGCCACTCAACACATGCCCAATATTCGCGCAAGCACGCGCCAAACACCGGGCCATGAACCTGGCGTGGTCGTCGCGGACGCTGAGGTTTGTCAATCCCGTCCGTGATCCACACCGGGGCCCGCCCAGCTGAACCGAAGCCCCAATTTCACCCCCCCCCACCCTCGGAGCCTGGTCTCCTGGGGCCGTGGCGAACGGGGCGGAGGAGGGAAAAAGAGTGAGACGCACATGCCGAGGGAGCACCGTCCACGTCTCCAATTTGGGGATCCACAAATCATGTGGTGACAGACCTCGAAATCCACAGCGACCTCACCGCGCGGTCCGTCACCGCACAGTCTTGGGACCCTGGAGGCCCTGGTCGCCCAAAACGCCCTCGAAGTACAACACGAGTCCCAAAACCGTGCGGTCCGAACCCCCAATGGCCAATCACGCGGCGTGGTCACCAACCGCGTGCGGGGGGCCCGACCCATCCACCTTGGTAGCGCAACGGTCGCCAGAAAACCTGGTAAACGTGTCGGAGGAGGACCGACGGCAAAAAAAAGGACGGGACGTTGAGACAAAGGAAGGTCATGTAACCATGTGAACACTCGGACTTCCTGGAGCCGCCCGAACGAGACGCTCTGTGCCTGCATAGGGGTCTCCTCCGCCTGGGGGGCGGCCAGGTAGTCTGAACTGGCTGGAGCACCAGAAAAGCTGTCAGGAGGAAGGGATGGGCCAAATTCGTTGAACATCGGCTCCTGGACCTATCCCGGGGCGCACATGGTGCAGATTTTCGCCCCGGATCCGCCTTTGACGGTCCCAGGGTCCGAAAGCGACCCCCAGGCGCCGAACAAAGTTTCAAAAACAGAATCTTCCCGAACCCAGGGCCTGCGACATCGCCCCCCCCTTCTCTGTTGGGCCACCTCAGACCCCCAGCCCGCTCCAAATGCAAACGCTCGGAACCTCCTCCGCCTGCCGTCCGAGCCCGACACGCGGGGGGCCTCGTGACACCGCTGGAGCTCGGGCGCGCGCACCGCGGACGCTGGCGCCTCGGAGGCGCGCCGGGCCTGGGGCAACCGCAAGCGGAGCTCGCGGAGTTCCTGCTCCTGGGGGGGCGAGCTGGCGGCGCTAAGGGGTAAGGGAAGGAGGGGGAGGAGGAGGAGAAGGAGAAGGAGGAGGAGGAGGAAAAGGAGGAGGAGGAGGAGGAGGAGGACGAGGACGAGGACGAGGAGGAGGAGGAGGAGGAGGAGGAGGAAGAGGAGCAGGAGGAGGGAGGGGATGAGGAGGCGTAGGAGGAAGATGGGTAGGAGGTGGAGGGATGAGGAGGAAGGAGGAAGAGGAGGAGAGGGAGGAACATGATGATGATGATGACGACGATGATGATGATGATGACGAGGAGGAGGAGGAGGAGGAGGAGGAGGAGGAGGAGGAGGAGGAGGGGGAATAAGTAGGAGGAGGAAGAGGAAGAGGAGAAGGACTCAAGTCGCGCGCAACCGTTGCCCGGCCAGGCCCGCACTTCTCACCCGCTCGTCACCTCTCACCCCCTTCGCCTTCCTCCCTCAACCCTCGAGCCATGGAGGGAGACGTGGAGATACTGGATGCCGCCGGGCGGGGCGGGGATCAGGATATGCAGGACTATGACGGAGCGGCCGCGGCCACGCCTCCCTGAGCAGCCCAACTTTGCGGTGCACTTGGCGCCGCTGCTGCCCCGGGGGTTGCTGCCGGCGCTGCGCCTGCTGCCGCCGCTGCTGCGCCACCCGCCGCTGCTGCAGGGTGCCCGCCCAGGGTGCGCGCTTGGGTGGCCAGCCGCCAAGCCCCTCGGAAGCATGTGGCGGCATGCTGCGTGTGCTGCTCGGGATTCGAGCCAGGGGCAATTCGCTTTGCGAGCCGGGCAAACCCAGACCGGCACTTCCGCCACCCAGCCTGCATCGCGGGCGGCATGCCCCTGGGCTCGGTGGAGGGCTTGGCGGCGCTGCCAGAGGAGGCTCGCGTGGAAATCTTCGCTTGCACTGCGCCTCTGCCAGGGGCGGCCCCGCCCGCCAACGACGTCCACCCGCGGCGCGTTCTGGCAGCGGAAGCGGGCGAGCTCCCGAGGCTGGAATGGTGGGCCAGCTTCGGCTTGAACGGTGCCTTGCGGGAGCCCGTGCCCACGTGGACGACGACGCCCCCGACCCTCGTCGCGGCGGTCGCGGCCGTGCTCGCCGCGGCGTTGCGCGCCGTCGCGGCGCGCCCCATGAGCGAGGCGGCGTGGGCCCAGCTGCTCCTGCTCCCGAGGCTGCTGTTCGCGGTGCCCCCAGCCAGCGGCGGTGACGAGCGGCCGTCGGCCTCGAAGGTGCTGTCACGCCGCCTTCGCCAAGCTTGGACGGGAGACTGGGCGGCACTGTGGGCCGCGACCGCACGATCCGGAGAACCAGAAGAAGACAGCCCAGGGCATCGTAAGACGGAGGAGGTGGCTCGACGGGTGCACGAGCTCATCGTGCTCGGGGAGGTGGGCCGCGCGGCTGCGGCGGCCGCCGGGCCTGGCAAGCTGGCGCGCGGGCCCGAGGTGGCCCGCGACTTGGCCGCCCTCTTCCTGGAGGCGACCGCCAGGGCCCGCGCGCCGCCGCCGCCCCTAGCTCACCCCCTGGCGCCCTGGGAGGCTGAAGCCGCCGAGGCGGTGGCAGGCAGCCTCGGGAAGTACCCTCGCCACTCGGGCCCGGGCCTGTCTGGCGCCCGCTCCGAGCACTGGGCGGCCCTGCGTGGACACGAAAATCAGGCGCTCGCGCAGGTCCTCGTCCTCATCCTCGAGGGCCAAGCGCCGGCGCAGGCGAAACAAGCCCTCCTATCCGAGCGGCTGCTGCCGCTGCTGAAGCCCGGGGGCGGCGCGCGGCCGCTTGCCTGCGGCGAGACGCTGCGCAGGATGGCGGCCAAAGCGGCCACGGCGGCTCAGAAAAAAAACCATCGCCACGGCAGCGGGGCGCCTCCAGTTCGGCGTTGGCCGCAAGAACGTGATCGAGCTGATGCACGGCGTCGTGGTAACCGCGCTGGAAAGGGACCCGGGCGCCGCCGCGCTCCCCTTGGACGTTGCCAACAAGCTCTGCCGGGACACCCTGCTGCGGGAGGTCTCCGGCCGCCTGCCGGAGCTGGCGCGGCTCGCGACGGCGTGGCACGGCGGCGCCACCGCGCGCGGGGCCCGCCTTCCCGGGGCCCGGGCGGCGCCATTCACAGCGCAGCGCGGGGTGGACCGGAGTTGCCCCCTGCCCCCTGCGTTCTTCGCGGTGGCGACGGGGGCACTCCACGAGCGCCTGGAGACGGCGGCGCGCCGCGTGGACCCTGAGGCCAAGGTGGTGGCCTACCTCGACGACGTGTGCGTCGTGGGCAGCCCGCGCGCACTGGCAGCAGCACTCCTTGCCGCGCAGGGGCTCTTCTCGGCGCGGGGCCCCCGCGTGAACCCACGAAAGACAAAGGCGTGGAACCCGCGCGCCCTGCAGCTCCCCAGGCCGCTGGCCAAAGCAAAGGTGCCCGCGCTCACGCGCGTGGGAAGCACTCTCCCCTACGTGCGCCACGCCGCGGGAGCAGCCCTGGGCGCCGACGCTGCGCGGACGAACTTCTCGCCGGCTGCCGCGCCGCAGGCGGCCCGGGACCACCTCGACGCCCACCTCGCGGCCTTCTGCCAACTCCGAAAGCACGGGCTGCGCGCCCAAGACGAGCTCGCGCTGCTCCGCACCTTCGCCAACGACGCGGCCCTGCACCACGCAAGGGCGCGCCTGCTCGACGAGGCGTGGTGCCAGGCTTACGACGCGGTGGTTCATCTCGGCCACGTGCACGAGGTCCTGAAACCGCTCACCAGGCACCAGGAGCTCCCCGCCCTCGCGCGCGACCTGGCCCTCCTGCCCCTCGCCGCCGGCGGGCTTGGCCTCCGGGGCCTCGCGCGCAGGAGGCTCCCAGCCTTTGTGGGGGCTTGGCAGGCGTGTCTGGCTTGCGTCTGCAGGGAGCTCGGCCTGCCCAGCCTCGAGGCCTTCCAGCAGGCTTGCCCGACGGCGTGGGGGGAGGCCGAGGGCGCGGGCCGCGCGCTCCAGGTGCGCGGCGCGGGCTGGCTTTGCGCCGCCGCGGGGCCGAGGGCCAAGGCGCAGCGGGCCCTCGCGGCGCCGGAGCAGCACGCGCGCCCGCAGCGGTTCAAGGGCGCCCTGCCGCCGAATTGCGCAGCGCAGCGCAGCTCGGCCAGCGGGAAGGGCGCGGGAGGCTGGCTCCTGCCGCAACGGAGGAGGACCACGACATGGCGGACGCGCGCTTCCTCCCAGCCCTGGCGTTGCGACTACAGCTGCCTGCGCCCGCAAGCGCCAGCGCCACCTGCCTCCGGCGCCGGGAGGGCGGCGCGTTCTGCGGGGCCGACCTGGCCGCGACGCCGGGACACTGCCTGGGCTGCCACGTCGGCAGCGGCACGAGCCACCGCCACGACGGCGTCGGGGACTGGCTCGCCCGCTGGCTGCGGGCCCGGGGCGCGACGGGCGTGGGCACGGAGCAATCGTGCCCGCCTGGAACCGGGCTCGGGCGGACGGCTCTGTCGAGGCAGCCTGCCTTGACGCGGTCTTCACCGACCCCGCGGCCGGCGTGTCCTACGTCGACGCGGTGATCACAAGCGCCGCCCTGGGCGCAAGCACGCCGGCGGGCCAGAACCGCGCCGTCCGGAGCGGCGCGGCCGCGGCAGCCGGGGAGGAGCGCAAACACAGGCGCTACCAGGGCCCGGCTGTCACGCGATGTAAGAGCCAGCCACGTGAAGATGTAGCCTGCTCTGCTACCAAGTGGAAAGTAAGGGTACAGGGCTTGACCATGAGGTAATTAACTGAGAACCCTACTCTTAGGAAAACGTCCGCGACGTATCGAGGTATCCCACAACTCATCCCGTGATGGCAAACGAGAGGACCAATAAGAGAGGAACCATGATATATGGATCACAAAAGGACGTGGCTTTTGTTCGTTGCCACGATCCCAATAGAGGTGCACAAAGTCACGTGCACCTGGCATATTGGACAGCGCTGCTTTGAGCCAAGACAGCGTTAGAGTTCGCTACACAACCACCCCTTAACCTCGCTTAAGTTCGCAAAGCAGCTGCTCGCACATGGCCCGGATCCGCCGAGGGGAGCCTGAGATCCATGGCATCGAGGCAGTCGCTTGCTTTGGGGACCTTTTGCGAGCAGGCACTTTGCGAGTAGTGGAACGCGCTCGGCGAGGGTCGGAACGAGGGGGCGCCTGGGCTGCCTTGCTGGCAATTGGATGCTCGAGCGCCGTGTTTTGCTTTTTCCCCAGCTAGCTTGTATAGACGGTTGCGTACTGCTGTTTTCCTAAGCAGCTACCCCCGCTGCAAGTGCACTGAGCGGGAGTCCCTCTGGTGAGCCTCGCGTGCCCCTCCAACCTCCAATGCTTACACCGCAAGAGGCTCGCTCCACGCGTGTCCGCGTGCTGCCCTTAGACATCACGTTGCCAGTGCGGGCTTTTGATGTACAGATCCCCCCCCAAGCTGTTCCCCCCTCGCCCCCCTCTCGATTCCTGACCGCCCTCCTACCCCCTCTACCCATGGACATCGGACGATATAATATTGACAATCCGCTGCCCAGAGGGCCTCCCGACTCTCTCCCCGGGTACAACTTTTCAGTCAAAGGCTGTTTACGATTGCCCTGGGACGTGAACCCACCTCCGGGAGGCCGAAACCGCAGAAAACACGTCGGGACTGAACAGAACAGTCCTTCGGAGGTCCGGCTCTGGGCATACTGAGCCTCCGCCCGCGGCGCCCCCCAGGTACGCCCCGACTCGACGCGCGTGCCCCCGACGAGAGAAACGAAGGGGGCAGAGGGGGTCCTGGACGCCGCGCAGCACCTCCAATCGCAGCGCCAGCGAAGCCGCCTCCTGTCGGCCGCCCCCGCTTCGCCCGCCCACAGAGAACATCCCACAACCAGCCCTGAGACCATCTCAAGCGCTGGACCACCTCCATCACTCCTTTCCTCCATCTCCTCTCCGCGCCCCCAAGGGAAAGATGAGGAAGAGGAGGAAGAGGAGGAAGAGGAGGACACCGATGTCATCAGTGAGCGAGAGAAGAGAAAGAGGAGGAAGAGGACGAGGAAGAGGAGGAGGAAACGGGAACGGGAACGGAAAAGGGCAGGAGGGTATGGACCAAGGATGACAGGATGACCACCCCCAACAAGCGAGCGTGCATGCACGCTCGCGCGGGCCGTCAGGCGGCCGAGGCGGGAAGGCCGTGGAGTTGTCGATGGTGTTCGTCTGTTCGGGCAGCCCACTACCGAATGTCCCGTCGGGGGTTGGCCCGCACGTCAGCAATTTCGTCATAGAGCCGATGGGTACTGATGCCTTTTGTGCCCGTCCTTCGCAATGTCATCGTGGTCGGGTGGACAGTTCCTCGACATTCAATTTCGTGACGGCAGAGGAGAGAGGGGAGAGAGGAGGAGGAGGAGGAGGAACTCCGTAGCCACTGTTGGCTCAAGGGGGCCAGCCCGCGGAATGGGCTGGCTTTGTGGATTCCCGCACCACATCGGCAAAGTTACAAAACCATCATTGTATCCTTAATATCAATTTTCCGCTACGCGCGCAATTGAGCCACGCATGATTGTATTATCTCCGTGCCTTCAGCTCCCGAGCACGTTGCTTGACGCCGACAGGATCACTTGCGAAAACCTGAAGCAAGCAGCTCGGCAATGTCGAATTTGGCAAATGATTGACAACAGATCGAGCAAGAAACTCAGATATCTGGAAAACACATCCAACTAAAGCAGGCCAGTGCCCCAAACATTGCCGACCAGGTCAAGGCAACCGCCGAGAATCCTGCATACCTGGGGGCCAACGCCGCGACCCTCAACGTCAACGCGCCGGAATTCAACCCGTCCACCAGTGTTGCTGCAACCTTTTCGGTTAATTACTTCACTCTCGTCTGCTGCACCGCCCTCTTTGGGCACAACCGCATCCAGGGCCCTGACGGCCCAGAAGAGCAGGGCCCATGACGGGGGGGTGGCCGACGCTCCTGCTGGAGCCGTTCCTGCGCCGAACCCTGTGGCTACAATGCCTGCCTCGCCTGCGCCTACCTGTTGAGCTACGCTACGACTACGACTACGACTACCTCTTCGGCTGTAACAGCTCCCTGGGCTCCAGCCGGCCGCCAGGGCAGAGCCAGGGCAGTCCCGCCGACGGGTTGACGGCACACGCTCACGTGGGATCCCACTTGAAGCCTTCTACGGCTACACCTCCTGCGTCGACTGCGCGTACCCCTTCGGCTTCGCCTGCGCCAGCCACTGCGGCTACACTAGCTACCGCGGCTACGCCTACGTCTTCGACAACACCAGCTTCTGTGGCTAGACCTACCTCTTCGGCTACGCCAGCTCCTGCAACCACTGCGCCTACCACCTTGGAGTAAAATGTCGGACCTGATCTAGAACAGGAAAGAACCGGATACGGATCCGCCTTTCGCCGATCCTGTGTTGCGACGAGCGCAGCGGCCGCTTTTTCTATAGACGCATCGACCCCGAATGTATCTACAGACGTAGCGGCACCCAACGTGCCCGTAGACACTTTTGGCTAGAACGTGAGAACGGTATTTGGCCTAAGCCCGAAATGCTGGTGTTCTAGAAGCAGGTAGCCTGGGCCCTTTAACTACTACCTCGGTTACGACAGCTGCTGCGAGCACGCCTACATCTTCGGCAACAGCGACTTTCAGGGCCCAGGTGACTGTTGTTCCCAGCCATCCTGTGGTGTTGGGTCCTCGTTTTGAAGAGACGTCGCCCCGCGTTCCTCCTCCTCCTCCTTCCTCCTCCTCCCCTTCCTCCCCCCTCCTCCCCCTCCCACACCCATTCTGGCACACCCCTCACACGTTTCGTGGCCCCATAGGGAGCTCCACCGAAGGCCCCAGTGGCTGCGCCCGCATGCGGTTCCACCCCCCATTCTGGCACACCCCTCACACGTTTCGTGGCCCCATAGGGAGCTCCACCGAAGGCCCCAGTGGCTGCGCCCGCATGCGGTTCCACCCCCCATTCTGGCACACCCCTCACACGTTTCGTGGCCCCATAGGGAGCTCCACCGAAGGCCCCAGTGGCTGCGCCCGCATGCGGTTCCACCCCCCATTCTGGCACACCCCTCACACGTTTCGTGGCCCCATAGGGAGCTCCACCGAAGGCCCCAGTGGCTGCGCCCGCATGCGGTTCCACCCCCCATTCTGGCACACCCCTCACACGTTTCGTGGCCCCATAGGGAGCTCCACCGAAGGCCCCAGTGGCTGCGCCCGCATGCGGTTCCACCCCCCATTCTGGCACACCCCTCACACGTTTCGTGGCCCCATAGGGAGCTCCACCGAAGGCCCCAGTGGCTGCGCCCGCATGCGGTTCCACCCCCCATTCTGGCACACCCCTCACACGTTTCGTGGCCCCATAGGGAGCTCCACCGAAGGCCCCAGTGGCTGCGCCCGCATGCGGTTCCACCCCCCATTCTGGCACACCCCTCACACGTTTCGTGGCCCCATAGGGAGCTCCACCGAAGGCCCCAGTGGCTGCGCCCGCATGCGGTTCCACCCCCCATTCTGGCACACCCCTTTCGTGGCCCCCGCATGCGGTTCGGCACACCCCTGGTGGCCCCATAGGGAGCTCCACCGAAGGCCCCAGTGGCTGCGCCCGCATGCGGTTCCACCCCCCATTCTGGCACACCCCTCACACGTTTCGTGGCCCCATAGGGAGCTCCACCGAAGGCCCCAGTGGCTGCGCCCGCATGCGGTTCCACCCCCCATTCTGGCACACCCCTCACACGTTTCGTGGCCCCATAGGGAGCTCCACCGAAGGCCCCAGTGGCTGCGCCCGCATGCGGTTCCACCCCCCATTCTGGCACACCCCTCACACGTTTCGTGGCCCCATAGGGAGCTCCACCGAAGGCCCCAGTGGCTGCGCCCGCATGCGGTTCCACCCCCATTCTGGCACACCCCTCACACGTTTCGTGGCCCCATAGGGAGCTCCACCGAAGGCCCCAGTGGCTGCGCCCGCATGCGGTTCCACCCCCCATTCTGGCACACCCCTCACACGTTTCGTGGCCCCATAGGGAGCTCCACCGAAGGCCCCAGTGGCTGCGCCCGCATGCGGTTCCACCCCCCATTCTGGCACACCCCTCACACGTTTCGTGGCCCCATAGGGAGCTCCACCGAAGGCCCCAGTGGCTGCGCCCGCATGCGGTTCCACCCCCCATTCTGGCACACCCCTCACACGTTTCGTGGCCCCATAGGGAGCTCCACCGAAGGCCCCAGTGGCTGCGCCCGCATGCGGTTCCACCCCCCATTCTGGCACACCCCTCACACGCTTCGTGGGTGGCTCCATGGGGAGCTCCACCGAACGCCCAGTGGCTGCGCTCGCATGTGGTTCCCCCCCACATTTCGGCACACCCCTCACACGGTTCGTGGCCCCATAGAGAGCTCCACCGAAGGCCCCAGTGGCTGCGCCCGCATGCGGTTCCACCCCCTTTTTTTCGGCACGCCCCTCACACGTTCGTGGCCCCATAGGGAGCTCCACCGAAGGCCCCAGTGGCTGCGCTCGCATGCGGTTCCACCCCCTCATGTCGGCACACCCCTCTCACGTTCGTGGCTCCATAGGGAGCTCCACCGAAGGCCCCAGTGGCTGCGCTGGCATGCGGTTCCACACCCCATTCGGCACACCCCTCGCACGTTTCGTGGCCCCATAGGGGGCTCCACCAAAGGTCCCAGTGGCACTGCCCGCTTGCGTCCGCCACCACCCAGCACAGCCCTTGTTCCCTGCGCTTCACCCACCCAGAACAGCGCTTCGTAGCCCTATAGGGAGCTCCACCAAAGGTCCCAGCGGCACCGCCCGCATGCGTCCGCCACCACCCTGCACAGCCCTTGCTCCCTGCCTGCGTTTCACCCACCCAGTACAGCGTTTCGTGGCCCCATAGGGAGCTCCACCGAAGGTCCCAGTGGCACCGCTCGCATGCGTCCGCCACCACGCAGCACAGCCATTGCTGACCGCGTCTCACCCACCCAGTACGGCGCTTCGTGGCCCCATAGGGAGCTCCACCGAAGGTCCCAGCGGCACCGCCCGCATGCGTCCGCCACCACCCAGCACAATTGCGGCATTCACAACTGCATATGGTTGGGTCCTTCGCCAGGCTAATTTTTCCCGGGGGGGTAACGCATGTTAAGCGGGGGGGGGGGAGAAGGGGGGAGGCGACGGTAACGGCGGCCGACGCGGCGAACACTAGTGCAAATACTAATACTAGTACTAGCACGACTACGAAGAGTACGAGTAGTACCGGTACTACGAACACTGCGGGTCGTACTAGTAGTACTAGTAGCACTAGTAGCACTCGAAATACTAGTAGTACGACTACGACAAGTACAAGAAATCCTAGACATTCTCGTCGTGTTAGTAGTGCTACCAGTACTACTTGTGCTAGTAGAACTAGTTGTACTACTAGGCCAAAAAGAAAGAGCAGTCGTGGTAGTAGTATTGGTGGAAATAGTGGTACTTCGACGTAATAGCAGCAACGTTGGTAGTAGTACTAATAGTAGTACAACAAATACTAATAGCCGTTATCGTAGTAGTCGTCGTCGAAGTCGTAGTGATAGTAGAGGTCGTAGTAGTGGTAGCAGTAACAATTATGGTAATAGTCGTGATAATATGTGTAGGAGTAACATGATCAGTAATGGTAGTAGTCGTCGTAGCAGAAGTGTAGTCGGAGCAGCAGTAACCGTAGTAGTGATAGTAGTAGTCGCCGTCGTCACCGTAGTAGTAGTTCTGATCGTAAAATTAAATAATAGTAGTAGTGTTGGTAGTAGTAGTAGTAGTAGTAGTAGTAGTAGTAGTAGTAGTAGTGGTAGTAGTAGTGGTAGTCGTGCTAGTAATAATCGTAAA